CTGGTTCCAACGTAATCACACGCATTGAGTTTACCTATTTAAATTATGACCAAGGTTAACGTTGTTAATGTCCCATAGGACACAAAGCACAGGAAAAAATAAATAAATAAAATTGTAAAATACATGAAAAATCAAGACAGAAAGATTAAAAAACCCATATTATCCAAGTTCAGTATACTAACATCAAACTGAATTTTTATGACTGCTTAAAAAAAACTTTTTTTTTAAATACACTAAAAAGGAAACTGGCCGATTCACCTGTTTCTTTTCTTCTCAGACAAAAGAAAATTAATGTTGGTTGGTTTTTTTGTTTTTTTTTTAAATAACTGAATCAAGACTGAGGATGCAGTCTGAAATTTAGTATCCTTTCATAAAAAATTGTTTTGTTTTAGCAACTAAGCAATTATTCAGTAAATTTTTCTGTTGGAAGTCAGATTTCTTTCAGTTGTATCCCAGCTACTATTGCATGCATTAAGGTGAAATTTATGTGGATTTTACTGAGTCATCTGAACTTTTTAAAATAAACTAACAAATTCCCTGAAGCCTTTGCTAATCTCATAAATGTGATGGTACCTCAAATTTACATTAGGCCAGAATTTACTTATTAGTACTGTGATTTTGAGGTAATATCCGAACTGAGTAAAAGTGTCACAAGTCAGACTGAAATTCTAAAACAAAGCGGGGATTTAACTGCACTGAATTGTTGCTAGGCTGAATGTTTTTCTAGAACAGTTAACCACAAAAAAAAAAACACTTTGAACTAGATGTTAACAAGTTGCATATAAAGCCTGATCACTAAACTGACCGTATCATCAGAAGCTTATTACACTCAGCTGAGAGACAGAAAAGAAACTTCATCAGATGCAGAATTGCTAAGTAAAACACAAGCATACAGTCAGAGAGAGAGAGAGAGAGCAAGTGCAAGACAAGGATACACAGTTTGGGTCTGTTTCAAACATAAATATATTTTGTATTGGGCAACTGGCAAAAGTCCTATTTTTAAGTTAATTTAAGTGTGATATTTCTTTCAGGAAAAGAAGAGTGTGAAAGTATCACAATAGGAGAGAAAATGAAAATGCAATATATCATATTTACAGTACAATATGAGTGAGAATAATATAAACTCTGTGGGAGTGCCTACTCTGGGGTAGGACACCTGTGATGAACCAACTTCACGCTGACAAAGGAGAAATATTAAGCCACTCTCAAGAGAAATGTTAATAACTATTTTTGTCAACACCAAAGCTTTGAAAGACCACTAAAAGACCAACTTTTCCTAACAAAAAAGAAGGTGTATGCATCCATCTTTTAGACCATGCTGTATATAACAATGTGCTACACAAACAAAAACAAAACAAAACATAATTCTCAGGATTATGGTTCTATAAAATAAGTAAATAGAATGATTATTAACTGTGTCATCTATGAGAAATAATATAATTTTGTAAACATGGCCAATGATAATATTTTCTATTCAAAAATGATCAAGGAGTATTGAGGAAAATGTATTAACAATTTTAGCAGTATAGTAAGGCTGATTACTTACACTGAGTTACATTGTAGGGTGTTACTAAGCCTATTAATCACTAGTTTATATTGTTATTAGAGAAGCCTTTCTTTCTGTCAAGTCTTCAGACCTGTTGCATTTGTTTTCCATCATCTATATGAGAAAAAAAACTTATATAGAACTTAATGTTTCAACCACATAACCTTAAAGTCTTTAAATAGATAAAAAAATAATACGTGTGGAAGTCGAAACACATTTGATCAGTAAAAAACTGCTGGACTACCGGGAAAATGAATACCAAGAAAAAAGTCAAGCCTATAGATATGATGCAATAAGATGAAACTTTCTCTCAAGGTAGGTTTTGTGGGAGGAAGGAGTTGGACCAAAAATGCTAAAAACCAGCTTTATGGCTGTGCTTCAACCAAAACACCAAAATAAAGCAAAACATGAAAATGTTAACCGAAAATGTTACTCTTCTAGAAAATTTTACCACAGGGAAAGACACATCAGTGAGGGAGAATGCAACAAAGAAAGACAGAGACAATATGAAACACACAGACTAAATAACAATGAAGGTAGAACCAAAATAAAAGGATTGTAATTTTTTGTACATTAACACCGTTATTGTTAGGAAAGAAAGTTGGCTTATTTAAATATCTATCAACAAAACTTTAATGCAAGTGAGAGAAAAAAAATAATGAAAATGGGGCAAAGGGCATCCTCCTACCTCAGGAGTCCTATCACTATCTCCAAAGACATCAGCAAAGTCTGATGGGCTTTTCTTCAGAGTCTGGTCAGCAGGCAGCGTGTTGTCATTGTATGATGTCACAAACTTAAAGTCACTGGTTCTTGAACCTGTGGTCAGGTACGC